TCAACAGCATATATACATATGTATATATATATATCTTTTTTATAGTATATATATTATTATTAATACATATTAAAAATATGTATTATATTTTTAATATACTATATTACAGTATATTATTTTTTATTATATAGTATATTAATATAATATATATATATATTGTTCAGCCTTCTATAATTATAGTATATTAATTTATAGAAATAGGCTGAACCACGGAACTATAGCGATTGCCAAATTGTACAATATTGGGCTTGCACATAGGAGGTCGATTTTAACCTGCACAAAACCTTATTAAAAATATATACAATATAACAATCTTTGCGAGATGCGAGACAGACCACGCGTTACTTTAGCCAAACAATAGTTTATAGAACATTACGGAAACCATTAATTCAGCATGAATATACTAAATTCAGCTTCAGATTCATAGGAAACGATTTTTAGCATCAGATTCTTTCGTGCAATTTTTGACAATCTTGGCCTTTTGCGAAAATAGGAATAATACAAATTTGGACCTAGTGATAGACAAGAAATTACGAAGTAGTATTTAATACAGAAAGAACATAAATAGTTAATAACTGCAACAACCAAATATCGAAACATCACAGATGTTTGTGTTTAGAAGGCATCATTCATACACGAGATCACGTCAAAGATGACTTGAAACATGAATAAGAAATGACATGTATTTAAAGGTGGAATAAAGCTACGCATTTAACCGCGTTTCCTTGCAATAATGCTATACCGCGAATATGAAAGTGCGTTGTGATAAATCTCGATTAATTCAGATTATTACAAGTTCCAATCGGGTTTGTATCAGTCAGGTCCTGTTTCCCCGCTAACTCTTTGGTCCTCTAAAAAAGCAAATTTTGTCTCATTTTAGTTGGTAAATGTATTCTAGGTTCATCAGAGGGTCATAATAAAAAAGTTAGGATAAGAAAATGATTGCGTATGGAATCTTGCTGTGAGTTACTCTGCTACGAGGCCACTGTGCTTGCATGGCATTCATGCGCCGTTCGACTGATCTTCGACTCAAGGAACTCCATTTTTAAATAATTTAAGCCTGGATGACAGCAATAGGGGATTTAAAGAATTTTTTTTATCCTGAGGTACTACAATTTAAAAATGTCTGTGTTTATAAAGTGTATTTGTTCAACGTCATTGAGTTAACCTGAATGAGCTTAGATTAAAATTTTTTTGACATCCCAGAACGGTTTAAATTTCAGTCTTTTAGTTGCATAGGAGATACACAGTGGTAAGACCATCTAGTGCATGGAAAACAAGATGTAAAATTCTCCGACTAATTGTCGCAATTCACCGACTAATAGTTTTTAGTTAAAACAGCAGGACTGTCCGTTCAATTTATTGAGCAAGCCCAAAAATGAACTTATAGTACAATTCCTTCTCTTTTGTTAGTAAATTTTATCATGAACCGTAAGTACTGTCAACACAGCATACACAAAGCGTCAATCTCATTGTTATCCTTGAGCGATATTCTCTCTCTGCATGGGAAGAACTTTGGCAGAACGCCTTAATGAGCGTAATTGATGTCTTGGAATGATGTGGAGTCCATGGAATAAATCTAATCTTTCGTGACCCGCTGCACAAGCAAGGCAAGTACGACGGAACGAAGAAAAACCTCAGCCATACAAACATTCAATGTTTTGCCCAAATTTTTACATCGCAATGACCTGACAGGATGTCACGGCATGAATGATAATTACATAATGGTGTGGTTTTCCTTGATGGGCCTCTCTCTGATAATTTCATCAGATCTAATTAGTATTGACATCATGGGATAAATTAGCCCAGGAGTGCCTCTGCAGAACTATTTATAGTGTTTAAATATTAAGAGAGACTATAAAAGTGCTCTGATACATAAGTGGCTGAGTTATGCAGAATTAATCTGTTCATTATACTAAAGCAACATCAACTATTAAGTCAGTTAGAATGTACCATGATGATGTTACAACATTTTCTAGTAGATGGGAAATGATAACTCAAAACTTTACTTGGAAGTAAATTACAATTAAAGGCCGTATTAAATGTTTCGGTGATTTTCAACAATGTAGTTAGCATATAAAACAGAGAAACAGCAATGAAGGACATCGTGATATAGAAACACAGTTATTCCAGTTTCTCATGAAGCTATTTAGTACAGTACAAAATCACCTTTGATCTTCACACAAAAAGATTTCTAGGAAATGGAATTTATTCGCTATAATCGTGATTATGGTATTTTAGAGCTTTAATGTCATGCCATATTGGTCACAATAAGCACATGGAATGTTAGCAATTTTTCTTTCAAATGTTAAAATGTTAATAATTGAAATTGAAAAACCATTTCAACTAAATATTAGATTGATTGAAGGCAAAAATCCCGTTGTTGCCCGATATTTAATCACGATATTCGTCCCAAGATATTCAGAATTATTCAATTATTCGATTCTGTAGGCTTTCATTTGGCAAAAAATTGATAAATTTTTGTTCGTATTCAATGACACTTGAAATTTTATTGACATGTTTATTCTCTGTACATATGTGACCAAACACAATTGCTTGATTGACTCTTAATAAAGCATCAAAAGTGACAAAATAGTTACCTGTAAATCGAATGGAAAAAATATTAATTGAAACCATTAACGATATTTTCATAACTTGGAACTGTTGCACTCATAGCGTAGAATGTGGAGATGTAATTAAAATAGACATCAGAAGGATAATTCATCGGCATAAATAATTACCTCCTTCTTATGTGATATTAATAAAAAATTGTTAAATTATACAGTTATTTCTCGTTATTTAAACCGGATTATCAAGGTGAACTGGAACACCCCCGTCTCGGACTTATGTCGCACTCAACAGTCAGATTAGAGGTCCTTGATCACACGCTTGAATTACAGTCCGTCAAAAGTCTCGTGTTTTTCTGCGGATGAGATAACGGGCCTTAAAACTAATGAGTCCATCCCAGCCATCGTCTTTTCATGTGTACCCTACATATATGTAAAAAAATTATAACAACCAGGTATTTGCGTTTAAACTTTGCTTTTTGTGACTTTTGAATTTTTTTAATGATTTTATACTGGAATACCCCACGATTGAATATTCAATTTAGAACAATCATTCCGCCTCGGATCAAGTTTTTCGGAACTCTGGATTTTGAGGAATATTCATTTCGACCTCTTTGCCTGCACAACATTCTCTTATGTAGACATTTTCTTTTTTGTTTACGGCAAAATCCCAATTTACTGCAAAATCCCAATACCATGCCAATAATTTTCAAGAGGAGGTGAGAACTTACAGAAAATGAAATTGCTCATAAACTTCTAACCCTAAATAACCATATGAAGTTCCCATAACCATAAACTTCTAAACTTCTCTAACCCAACCTAATCTAGTTTAACAAAGCGAATGACTCCTGCTGAATTTGTGTTCAGCACAAGTTGTCAGTAAAGAGTAAAGTTTTTTGTTATAGCTTGTGTGCGTTAAAATTTGATGACATGTCACTGAAACGGAAGAAATCTTCAGCACGTCAATCTAGTTTCAGCAAACCTAATGTCAAAGAAATACATCAGTGTGACAGAGTTTATCAGTGTGACAGAGTTTATCAGTGTGACAGAGTTTATCAGTGTGTTTTATCAGTGTGGCAGAGTTTATCAGTGTGGCAGAGTTTATCCGTGTGGCAGAGTTTATCAGTGTGGCAGAGTTTATCAGAGTGGCAGAGTTCATCAGTGTGACAGACTTTATCAGTATTAAATACTCTGAAACGCAACGTTTCCTGTACCTAAGCGAACGCTGCAACAGCTGCTGCGTTTCAATATGAATAATTACTGTTTGAATAATTATGGGCAGTTTAAATAGCTTACAGAATACACAGAATACAATATATATTTTTTAATAAATCGAGTATAAATAAAGCACAAAATATTTTTATCAACCTTATCATTCTCTTTTAAATAAGGTAAAACGTGATTCCAAGAGCGTGACAGATGCTGGCTATGAAAGCTTGAGTAGATTTGAAGGTTTTGTATTTATGCTCAATATACATTACAATGCCCGTTAAAAAAATGTGTCCACGTAAATTAATTGCTCCAGCGTCCTATCATTTCATATAACTACTTTTTGTATTCATAACATTTTGCTGTCTTGCCTAGTCTATTATAAGCATTGCAATCCAAAATTGAACGAACAGCTGCAACCGTTCTTCAGAGCAGGAAATAACGTTCATTTTTTTTCGTAACAAAAGGTTGCACTCGAAATAAATTTCGAAATAAAAGAACGGAGGGAACCTATTCACTCCCGTTTGCTTACTCGATCTTACTTGTTTTACAAACTCTCGAAAGTAGTTCTTTTGATTGTAAGGAACTCCCTCTCGCTGCACTGTCGTGATGCAATTCTGGCCAGGAAATCAAAGCTTATAAACCTGAGACATCTGCTGAACTCGCTTACTTTGAGTCAAAGTAGCTGCTGGGAGGAGAGGATCTGTAAAGAATGGACGAATAAAAATTCTTAAACATCAGGTTTTGAATTTTTAATCTTTCATTAATTTATTTACTTATTAAATTATTTTTTAGGCATATGATAATTCTGACTTGCACTCGATTCGCAGTGTAATGTGTTTACTGGATGACTATATTGTAGTTTCATAAAAAACTTAGCAATTTCTTGCTCTACTCTTCCTTTTGAGTATTTTCTGATTTCAAAGCCTGTTTTGCAAATTTTAGCTAATCTTCTAACTGATTTACTTAATTTTTTCTCTTATCAGCACTGTACGATCATTTCAGCACTTGTTATCAAAGACATTTATGCTTCATCCTGATAAATCATCAGTGTACAAAACATTTTATACACCTCTTCTATAATATACTCCATTACTACTATACTATACTAAACTATAATGTAGTATAATATACTATGCTATAATGATACGCAGATAAGTTCAGGGAAATAGGAATATATAACTCGATTTTTTGAGGGAGCTATTGAATTATTCCTTATTTTGCAGAAAAATTTTAAATTTCTTGTAGTTCGAAATGTTTGTAAGTTGCAAGTTTCCACTTGTGCTCGCCGTTCTGCTGGTAAGTATGAGCTGCTGGAACTCGAACGCGTCTGCGATGCCTGGGAACTTCCAAGGAAGAGGATTTGGTGGATACGGTGGCTTCGGATCTGGATCTCAAGTAATTGTTAATAATTAAGCAATAAGGTGTTTTCTGTTATTTATCGATCATAATTTTGTTTGAATTAAATGTAAGTCTTAAGTTCAATGTTTTGTTTCATTTCGACATGTAAGTCTCAAGTTCAATGTATTGTTTCATTTCGACGCACTGATGAAATGTTGTGCGGTGTAAATACAATGTTAGTGCACAATACTCACGACTTAATCATTACAAATTTTTAGCGATTTAAAACTTTGTGCGTCCTCCGTTAAACCTGAGGTGACTAATATTTTTTCTACTGCCCGCGTTTTTAATAATTGATACAATAAGTAGCCTAATATATTAAAAACTTCTCTTTGACTCTTCATTGCAACAAAATATTGCTAAAATAACTATCACAACCATACAGACAAAGGAAAATTCAGTTAAAAGCTTGTTATCTAGCAAAATACCTGTGTTCTAGGGAGGTGGCGGTTACGGCGGGTCAGCGGGAGGAGGCGGGTTTGGCTACGGCACCGCCGCCTTCGGGTCTGGCGGGCTCGGCGTGAGCGGCGGCGGCTACGGAGGCGGCCACGGCGGAGGTGATGCATTCAATGTTTATGACTACGAGGTTTTTCGCTTCAAATAAAATTTTGAAGGCAGTTTGGTGAAAATTTTGAACTAGAGTCAAGTTGATCAGAATGCCTAACTATATCTTAATGTATTTATTTCTGTTAACGAAATTCAAGAACCGCATGCATGGCTTTGCTCTCAGGAATTCGCTCCGCCAGTTAGAATAACAAAAGCAGGGCAGTAGTGAATTTCTTGCTACTCTAGGCAAGTTAAAAAATAACTTTCCATCATAATTAGTCGACTTGTATTGAAATACAAACGTCTAAAATGTAATAGTCTCTGTCTCTATAAAATAGTCTCTGTCCCTACCCTCATTAAAATGTAATATAGCATTGATATCATCTCATAGTGTGGGCATACGCCTAACATTTTCCTGTTATTATCATGCAAATTAAATTGTAATGCAATGTTAAATTGTAATTTAATGTATAAATGATTTTAAATCGTAACTTATGTCCCAGTCACGCATTGATGTGACCTCACAGTGCACCGTAAAGTATGGGTAATTAGAAATAGTTTCTTTATATTTATCAGATCTCATTGGTTTTTATGTCAACATTGAGCCACCTTATCGCTGGTTGCTGATTTGAAAGCAGTAATAATTAATAAGCATCAATAGTGATGAATCTTAAATTAATTTTAGTCCACTTGAGGAATTTCTTGCATATTTTATAAGCAGCATTTCTCACGAAAAACTTTTTTATATAAATTTGATGTCATCGTGAAAGAAGAGGCATCTCATGGCTGTCGCATGGAAGTGAAGACCAAAAAATTAAGTATTTGCCATTAAAATAATGCCGAGATAACAAACAAAAAAATTAAATCTTGAATTTAATAATGTCTGAGGTAAGAACAAAGTACAAATCAAAGAATTTAAGCACTGAATTTCAAAAATGCATGGCATGACAATTTTTGCTCAACTAATATTGCAATGGGGTTTTGACTTATATGAAAAACTATTTTCATTGACCTAAGTGATTTTTCACACACTCCCAACCAGTATTTCTTAATTCATTAAATCGAACTTTCAAATTTATGAGACTCAAGCTTATCTTTCTATATATAGGAAATTTTTTCATTTGACATCTATTTTCGGATGTTTCATTGATCGTTTGAACTTTAGATTCAGACTAATATGCAAACAAGTGCATCGAATGCTTCAAATGCTGCAGTATGGAATTGTGTCGATTTTACAAATATTTTATACTCAACAGGAGGCTACGGACGCTGATTGATGGCATAGTCCCTGAATTTTCCGAGTTCCACCTCGCCGAAGAATGCACCAAAACTGATGAACTGTCTCGGTAAAACAGAAGTTCTTCAAATCCTACTGAACGAATTTATGGTTCATTTAGTCGAACAGATCAGATATTCTTGCAAGTATTTTATCATACAACGAAAAAAAAATAACAGACCATTATTTTGCTGACGTTTTCAAAATTATTGAAGATTCATGTGCAGCTCAAGTATTTGAAATCTCTATAAAAAAATAATTCAATGTTATATATTTAAAAGGTTGTGTTTATTCACTGATATACGACGAATAATAAAATATTTAAAAGACTTCAATATTTAACAGCCAAGATTATGGAGTTCATGCATGGTTCATGGTTATTCAGGGAGATAAGTCAGGATTGAATCAATTTTATATTTTATATATCATTTATAAATGAATCTAATCTATGAAAAATATCAGACAGAGTGCTTATGCTGTTTGCATTCGAGGATTTCGTAGAAATTGTTTGTCATCCAATGATGAAATTAAATTTTTGTTACATCGACTGCTTTGCTTAACGAATTATCGCATCAAAACATAAAAGGCTATTTATTAGAAGGGAAATTATTCTACTTGATTAGCTGATTTTTTTTACTTACTAATTGATCAGATTTGAAACTTTTTGTGCCAACAAATATTTCTGAATTTTTCGCTGCTTCATTTCTTGCCATCGCCTAATAAAATTCAGTTACCTATAGTTACGGCATGGTGGGTTTTAGTAATCTAGTGGCACAGAGTATCAAGGAAGCAAATTTAGGGCTAAAAGAGATAAAATTTCACGAAATGTTACCGTACGAAATGTTACCGTACCGTAGCATGTTACCGTACGTTATACGCTGGATAAACAGTGCATAAAATTTGTGCCTTGTTGTCATTACAGAAAACAGCAGAAAATTTGATGAAACATTAATAGTAATAGTATATAGTAAAAGTTATTAATAGTAAATCTCATAGTAGCAGCTTAATTCATACACTTCTAAGCTGAGATTAAAATAATTCACAGTTGTAGCCTAGCAACTCATGAAGTAAAAATACTGGCACACAATAATACTATTCTATGTAATAGCATCAACGAGTAATAGCATGCATCTTTCAAAGGGTACTAGCAACCTTACCTCGTTATTATCGAGATTAACCTCAATCAAGAAAACCTGCAGGCAAGTATACCAAACATGTTGAGCTAGTTTACAATAGTATAATGCTTTCTAATAATGTCCCTTAGTTCGTAAAACAAGTTATCAAATGAAACACTGACTAGCATCTCCAAAGCAACAAAATGAACAGCTTTCTGCGTGGAATTTATTTTTCTCTGTGTTTTCAAAGTACGCGTGAACTACGTAAATACGTAGATACACGCTTCCAACAGGATTAATTAATATCATTAATATCAAATAGTTCCTCCCACTCGGGAATCACCGAAGAACTTTTATAGAGAAGTAATGGATTTTCGTAAAACAGGTTGATTTCGGAAAAAAGGTGTTTAGGAATAATTTTCATGTTAAACTTAATCTGCTGGATGCTAAAATTAACGCGAGTTTAAACACATTGATTTTATATTTCCGGAAACAAGATCAGAAAATCATTTGAAAGTCATATATTGTAGGAACTCTACAATGTCAGTCCAGATTGGTACATCACTAAATGCTCACACTCCTATTCCTTCCTTACTTTATTCACTGTTTAGGTATTACTGTTCTATTCTTGCTTTGTCGCTTCGTTTCGTCGTATTACTATAGGAGGTTAAGCAGTTCGTTGGAAGCAGATGACCAGAAGCCAAGTTCCGTGGCCACGTTTAGCCAGCTTTACGTCCTGTGAGGAGAAAATACGCATTGACGCATTGAATATCGTTTGGTGATTGAGGAGTTGTGAACTGCAATAAGTTCATGACAATTTAAAGGTGAGAAATAACGCAGGAAGCTAAAATGGTTGGATATATGAATTTCAATAAGCAAGCTGGATGGGATTGTTGAATGAACAATACGGCACATTTCATGCAATAATAAACGGAAAGAAAGTTGAAAAGCGTTTATTTGCGACAAGCAATAATTCAATCAAAATTAAACGAAATGCACGACAAATATTCTCAGGTTCAATAAAATTTAAATGAGCAACGTCAGATCCACAGAAGAGATTATTTGTATTTGTACCGAATGATTTAAGGATTGAGCATATAATTTTTTATTCACCACGCACAGTTGTCGTGTTCTTACTTTATAGTAGTACTGTGCTTTCTTTGTTTTCTCAATCGCTTAAACTTCTAGGATTTAAATTCTAAAAAGTGCTTATGTGCCATTGACAAACCACAGTCGTTCATTCTTTAGAACGCTAAATTGACGGAATTTTGCAAAAACTCTCGTTATTTAAATATATGTTATGAAATTTAAATGAGAATTTGAATCATACACACAATTGAGATCTCAGACACATAGATTGATCACGGATAATTAAAATAAATAATTTGCAGTGGCTCTTACATTTTTTGCAAAATTTCCCACTTGCTATTCAAAAAATTATTTTCAACAAATTTCTCAGTTGCCAATTTTGATTAAGAAAAACCAATTGAGAAATTACTGCTTTGTTTAATAAAATATATGAAATTTTGTAGTTTTACATGCATGTAGTATATTGGATAGAACAGTTCTATTGAAAGTAGCGATACTCACTGTTCTCGAAACCATTCCTGCCAAAGAAAGTGAAGCCATAGTTAGTGATACCAAGCCTTCGCTCGCCTGGGAACCTCCTCCGCTGTCGTACCAACCCAGACGACGACAAACTGACGCTCAACAGCAGGGCGACAAGCAGTAGCAGGATCTGATGAATTATTGTACGTTATTATCTTTCATTATTGTCAACAATTAATTGAAAATGTTTAATAGGTGAATGGAGCTTGAATAATCAAGGTAATTGTTATTATAAAATTATCAACTGAATTGCTTAAGTATTCTTGTCGATATAATTATGTGGCTAAATGGTATCATCCAAGTAATATTGATATCGGTTTTCTTAAACTACTATAAGCATGTTGTTGGTAGGATTTTTGCGGCACGTTCAGATGGATTTTTACGCAAATCTAAGTTTAGGTAAAAGTACCAATGGCGGAATAGGAACATTAAAAAATACTACTAATGCAAAATTACGTTAACTTAAGCTTTAAGGCAAAATTATAAGTAATTGTGTAAAACCGGGAATAAATTTTGCAGTCGTTTTGAGATACAAAGTTTAAATCAAAGTTTAAATCATTTTTAGTAATTGCATGAAAGAACTCTGCCATGTTGGTCATTCTCTATGAATAAACCAACATGAATCAATCAGTAACGAATGTGATACCCGAACTCACCTTGCAAAAATTCATAATGTTTCAGTCGAAGACTCAGTCTGAGGAAATAATAACAAACAAATTAGACATTATGCATTCAAAAACAATATTTAAATGATTTTAGATTTTTCATGCTTTAAAGAAGCACAAAACTGTGTTCTTGGTCTATACTACTTGTGCAGCATTTATATTACTTGCTTTATTCCGCACAAATAAGATTTTAATAACCTTGTTTTGCACACCTTTTTTCGTGCGGAAAAATTGCTGAAAAATACTTAAGAAAATAAAATAGTTTCGTATAACTTTTTTCGCATTTAGTTGCTAGATGCACCTTAAAACAAAAGCCATGACAAAATGCGAATGTCAACACTGCCGTTAAAAAACAATAATTCACGTGCAATTCTTTCTCAGAGAATAAAGACCGCGAACAACAGCAATACCAGCAAGAAGCTCCGTCTGCAAGGCTACACAACAGGTATCTATCTATAAAGAGGAATTTCGGTTGCAACAATATTGCCTGGGAGCCATGCGTCTGAATGCTATGCTGTCTTCGAGACAAAAAACTCGAGCTTCAATGCCATTGTTCGAGGCCATGAACCTAAGAGGCAACGTACACAGGCCAGAGAATGTGATCCACTTATATCGTTCCATGGGAACTTCATAAAACAACATCAATTTAGAATCAAGATCTTGTGCATAACAACATAAAGATTTTGGATTTTATTTTCTTTTAATAACAACATTTGGAACACGTGACATACTGCACAGTAAGCCCGGCAAAACATCGCAATCGAAACAACGCGTCGCTATTTAGTTTGCTGGTAAAAAAACAGGTATAAGCATGGAAATTACCGTATATGAATCATCTTAATATAAATATATCACCTTCAGAATTTACACATGTCTCAAGGGAAAGTACAGTTGCTTTAAGTCGATACCCTTGTTTTGTTGTGTAAAAATAAGACACAGCGGCTTTGAATTGGGAAAATTTTGTCAGCATATTGCAACAGAAATCATAAAGAAATTAGTAGAGATTGACTTATCCATACTGGTTTCGCTCCAAGCATGAGATACAACATTTGCTTATTAAAAGAGTGGTCTGGAGATTCAAGTCGCATTCAATTCATTAAGTATAAAATTGCTAAACCTGAACATCAGAGTAAATCAATAATGTAATACTCTGTAATAATGTAATACTCTAAATACTTTTCATGCACTTCAACTTGCCATGGTCCTATAACAACACCAATGTTCGTGGCTATATATAGCGGAGCTTGGTGCTGGCAAAAAGATAATAATTCCGCTCTCTCAACTATCACCTCACAATATATTTCGGTTATTGTAGGAAGCCGAAGACGTTGTCGGTGATACTGGTACTTAGCACGAGTGACTGGGACACTGCGAATCTCAATGCTCTTATAGTCCGCCCTCGTACAGCTTGGTCGTCCTTCACATTGTCCTTAGGAAGAAGAAGAAAAAACGACTGAGGAGGATTAAACTGCGCTCAAACTTGACAAAAATAGAAGCATTCTACTGATTGAAAAAAAATTAGGAAATGGTGGCTACAAATGTTAATGTTTCTTGCTGGGTGGTCGTGTAGGCGCGTAGAACCAACTACATAACCCCAAATGTATTCATGGCTTAAAAGCTCTGATTTTACCTCTCGTTTTGTACCAAAATTGAGATTCAAATTTCGTGAGAAAAACTTCTTTGCTATGGAATTTAATTAGTAAGGAGTAAATTACTAGGAACAAACAATTCTATTTGAATTTGCTTAAGAAAATGGAATTAAAATATGTAACTTTTTTATTTGAATTTAATTGATTAATTAAGCCCATATAACTTCCCAGTACTTACGTAATTAGTCCGCCAATACCGAAAGTTCACAAAGAAAAAGCGCAGAAAGTCTGCCAAAGCAAAGAGCAGAAAATGTAAATTCATCGTATTCATCGTATCCTCAACAAATTTCGCGATTTTTTTGCTCTTACATTCTTAATATAACTTCCCAGTTATACAGTATACGAGGGACCGAACTCATCTCGTAGAATGGCAAATCTAAAGGTTTCATGGCATTGTATTTATTTGAGTTAAATTTGCAGTCTGAAAGAATTCCGTTCACCTTGAACATGGACGAACCTGAAGGTTGAAAAAATTCTACGACTATACTGGCGATTTTTTCCCAATGTTGCTGCGACTCACCAAACGAGTGATTTACCAGTTTAGAAGATCGTACGAATTTGATAAAGTCTTTTAGACTGTCACCTCAATTTTTTGAATAACAAACATTGTTTGTAATTTACAATTACACAATGGCATTCATATCTATTATATTCAAGTCTCATAAATAAATGAAAAGCAATTTGGATGAGTAAATGCATGCTCACTTGATTGGTTGTTTTTAGGTTGCCTTGGGCTTCTATATATGCCCATTGAAAGACTCATAAACTTCGCTGGACGCTTGTCGCCAATTGGTCAGCAATATTGCACGACGAATCGCCAGAAAATATTCTCACTGCATGTAATAACAATTAGCATTTACAATTGGACACATTTCGTTAGACCAGCTTTAATGGACTTTTCCAATCTCAGACTCCGCTGGTATAGGCCGTTATACTCATTTACCGCTTCTTGAAAATGTTTTTCAGAAATTAATTAATTTAAGACTCAAGGTTAATAAGATGCTGCCGCCTCCATAGGCACAAAAATGCCCAGAATATATTGTCCGGAATATCCCAGATTTAAATGGACACGCAAATAAATATGTATTACGGACACGAGGATTTCATCGCGAAATTTATTGAATTAGTAGGGCTAATTCAGACGATTTCCATTTCGAATTGATCATTCGAAAGACTTTTTGTGCTCGACGTTCATGAATGCTTCCGATCAAAGTTTTAAAATAGAATTGTCTCATCGACAGATTAGTGTGCGATAAACTGAACGGAAAAAATCGACTAAAAGCGCACAAATGCGGGGGAAAATTGAGATATAGAAATAAATTGTAGCGCCACATAATACATTTAATGTAGGATAAAATTGATTCCGCTCCGGTGAATTATCCTTGAGCTGCTAGAATAATTATCCGTAAAAACTGCGTCGTATGTTAGCCACCTTTTGGCCTTTAAGATTGTCGTTGAGATTTAGATTTGGTAAAGTTTCTGTTCATCATATAATTTATATTCATGCCACGCCTCAATTCCTTTCGTCTGCCCTGTTCATATTTTTGCAGCTACAAACGACAGACAAAAATCACAATGGAGAGCTCAAGGGGCAATCTCTAGCTCAAATAAAATGCTTGCCTCATCCGGAACATTGTAGTCTATCAGTTGATCAAACTCATAAGGTAGAGTCAATGCCGTGGTTTTTCATGCATATGAACTCGGATATTACTCGTGCTAAGTGGCTTATTAAAACGGTTGTTCCTGGAGCTCTGCACGAACATGATAAGCGTCCCCTAGCTAATATATGTACTATCACCTTAATTAATTAGGGTGCAGCGGTGACGATGAAATGCTAGTCATTGCGCAACTGAGCAATAATTCGTAATTAGGGACGTCAGAAATAAGTGAACTGAAACTGCATGTAAATGGTAACATAGTGTGAATTTTTAATGGAAAAGTTAAAAAGCGATACCAAAATGTTTTTTTTAGTTAGACGCCCATATTTTTCATCGTTTTCAAATTGAATTAAACAGCACCAACGAACGGCTTGGTATTTGATATGGTGTTATATATTTTTTACCAAGTCAAAAAAAATAAGATATATAGATTAAGCCTCACGCCCTAGAAGTTCAATCGATAAAACTTGTAGACGACAAAGCAGGATCAAAGTCAGCACTCATTTTAGTTGGAAGTTGCTTCCAGGCTTCGACGTGACGCATGGAGAAAAGGATAATTTATTAAAGCTCGGCTTTGATGACACTGGTACACACTGGCGAAACAGTATAATAAGGGCACAAATTATATCATTAATTTAATTTAATTAATTTAATAATTTACCTATGGCACAAATTATATCAATAATTTGTGGAATAGAATCGAATATAATGGCATCGGCTATGAGATAGATAACATAAATATTCGAAGTCCCAACATATTTGATATCTTTTTGAAAGATGTCCGACATTTGAAAGATGTCGGACATTTTTCTGAACAAAAGTGCGGCAACTAATGATATCGAGTGAGATAAGTGAAAAAGGCGGTAATATTAAAAACTCATGTTATCACTCACATCTATCGCGTGGGTGTAAGTACAATTTACGCTCATGGGAGATTGCGAAGAATTTACTTTTTAAATACTGTGTATTCAGGAGAAATTTTTATAACTATTTATATCTTTTCTATATCCATCGTAAATGAAATCTTAAATGCAGTTACAGTAGAAACTGTCGGCATCAAGTATTCACTTTACCTATGTCGTTAAACTGATTTTCTCTCAGTTTAATTCCCATGTAAGATCGGCATTGAGTAAAATCACATGTTAATTTTTTCTACGAATTACATATTCAGTTTTACCAAATTAGAGACGTTTGTCCTGCGATGCATAGATGCAAGTTTGGAAGTAAGCGATGCATAGATCACTATCACTTCCACAACAGACCAGAAGTCATGATTATATCGATGATAGCATGTACAATATTAGGTTTAGTCCTTGGCAATGGAAATGAGTAATTGGATCATTTGAGGACACTACAACTACCGTACCTACACTTCATACAGAACTACACTTCATTCAGTGGGTGTAGACGTAGATTGCAGTAGAAAGTTCAAGCTTTTCTTTTATAATAATTTTACGTTTTTTTGAACACGAAGAAAAAGTAAATCCACTTCTTTTTATTGCCCTTTAAACGTCAAAACATAAGGTAAAAATTCACAAAAATGAAATTGGAAAATAATTGATGCTCTCGGTTAATAGAGAGCAATCGAAGTAGGTTAAGGTATGGTTTATTAAAGAAGTTTGATGAAATATTAGTAGTTTAATGATATTATAGTCATCAATGAACAATATATAAAATTTAATGTTTAAATTATGATTCCCTATATAACTAACAAGGCCTACTTACTAATTAAGCTTAGGTAGAATCCTTAATTTATACCTCGTAACTGAATTTCAAGCGTAAAACTATGTTCATTACATCTATGTGCGAGATCTTTCGTACTGCTCCAAAACAAATGAAATTAATCAATTTATGGGATTCCTCTTGCAGACATTGTCAGCATGGCTATCCGGTTGCCCTCCTGGCAGCGGGAACTGAAACAAAAGCATTTCGTGAGATCGCTGGTGAATAATTTCAGTACAAAATGCTTAAGAAAATGTATAAAATTTAAATCATAAATGTACATGTGTAAAATATAATGTGAACATTTATCCAACCAGTACTTCGTTAGTGCTTAATATATTTAACCTGTCAATGTTATCCTACCTGTATCGTTCAGATGCTGAAATTGATTTACATTGTAAGAATTGGTTTTGAAATTAATTATCAAGATCAAACTTAAACTCATATTGAGAGGCTAAGAGAATAATCCCATTGAATTTTAGTACAAACATTGGCAAATGAAATTCATTTTAATATTGGTTTTAAGTCTTTAGAAAGATCACAGTTATAATTCAACGAGTTGATTAAACAAAGTTTATATTATTTATCATTATCATAACACATATGCAATTATTGCAACAATTTAAAAACATTTAACCTGGCGTTTTGATCCAAGATTTCAGGCATATCGGAAAATTTGATTTGTCATTTAATCGTATCAAGTTCTGCCGTCACTGAATACTGTACAACTACATTCGGCCGGTATTCCTACATTGCATCATAGAACTAACCTTTAATAATGCGTGGTCTTGAATAAATTATTAGTTTATCCTTTTATGAACGTGTTAATAAACTCATAAATTCGATAATTTTGCTCCCCGATGGCTGATAAATGTTAGAACTATATCGTTTCCAATGAATCATCTGTCCAGTCGATGTATAGAAAAAGTTCTATGAAAGCAAGTTATGTGAAGGGGTTAAACTTAAGTTTCGGTGACGCAGTAAATAAGATTATAGTAATTTAAATTAGTAGTTAATTATTAGTAACTGATTTTAATAATTACAACAATTAGATAATTATATATCAAAGTCAGCAGATGGTAATGTTCAATATTTTTCCTAGTCGTTCACGAAGCTAAAATTTATCACTATCATTTACATCTAATGCAGGAACTTCCTATCAATCTTTTCCGCCAAGTTTTCCTTATTGTTGGTAATAATAGTGCGTGCATTAGACTATACTAAATGTAATGTATTTTGAAGTATGTATTCCTTATTGTCGGTAATAATAGTACATGCATTAGATTATAATGCATGTAATGTAGTTACATGCATTATAGTATGTAGCT